AAAATGTGAACAACTTTGCAACAGTGTTACATAACATTTTTATAACACTACAGCCACAAATTTTTTGTAACTAATGTTCTATCGCATATCTAGAACTATACCGGAACAATGATATGTAAGTGTTCTAAAATTTTGATGAAGTTCAGTTCTGGAATATATTTTTACCTAAGATTAAAAATTTTGAAGTGTTCATAAGTACTTTAACTATTTTCTATAGAATTAATAAATAACATTCTGGCTAGGTGACAGGGCTGAGTGTCTGAGGCATCTTCTGGAAGTTAACTTCCCAGACTTCAGGGAATAGGTTTGAAAAATAACCTCTCATTGATTTGGTTACCATGACACTCAGGAATCAGAGGAAATGAAGAAGCGGATATCTTAGCCTGTAGAGGGTCTGAGATGACTATGGTAGGTCTGAAACCGGCAGTAGGCATTATGCTACGCTCGGTGAAAGGGGCTATAGAAAGATGGTCTAGGGGATGTCATCAGGGAGAATAGGTGGAGACTACTGTAGGTGGACAGGCCAAGGTTCTGTTGAGATTAAAACTCAACAGAAGCTTTGCCGAGTCCCTTCTGAAACTCAACAAGATCAGAGTCTGAGCAGTGGTTAGGTTGCTCACAGGACATAGCCTCCTAAGCTATCATCAGCACAAAATAGGTAGAAACGTCTCACCTAGGTGCAAATTGTGTGATGCAGAAGAGGAATCTTCGACTCATATTTTATGTCACTGTCCAGGTTATGCTGCAGTGAGACATCAATGCTGGGGTTAGGCTTTTGTAGATCCAGATTGGATTCGCAACCTCTCTGTAGAAGAGCTTCTGGACTTTTAGAATAGGACAGGACTCTAGGGAGGGAGACTGTCTCAAGCTTACCGGGGTTAGGTGCAATGGGTCTTGCGACTTAAGTACTAACACTCGTACTAAGAGACTTCGGTATAAGATCATTTTAGATTAGATGAATCGACAATATTGTTGCTCTATTTTGAGTTTTTTTAAAATCTAGGTCACCATATCAAAGGTAAGAAATATTTGACGCGATATTTGTATCTGGACAAGATATTTTATAATGGCACATTATCCAAAAATATTATAAAGTAAAAATAACCTTGAAAATTAATGTTTTTTATTAAATAATTGTCTGCAATTTGTTTATTTTTTTAATTTACAGATTTTTTTGATGCAGCATTTGAAAGAGCGGTTCCGGGGCCATAATATATATTATATTTCTTATTGCCCCGGAACCGCTCTTTCAAATGCTTTTTCATCAATTCATGTTTAAATACGGTTTATGTAGTAATTACTTTAATTATGGTCAATAATAAATTTAGTGAATTTTTCGATTAATTAAAATACTTTTTTTGGTATCATTTTAAAATGTAAAAATTCTTTTTCTTTTCTTGTTTGAAATAAGATTTTATACATTTGAGTTGAATTTATTATTAGAATATCCGATATTGATCAAAAGTAATATATTTATATGAGACGTTTCACGTCAACCGGCCCAGAGCTCTGTCCAAAAATCTACTGAACGAAAATTGACTTATTATGGCTTAAAATAAACGTCAGCTCATACTCTTTCAAATAAAAAGTGGCGAATTCAAAAATTCAAAATGGCGTCCTTACTGTGACAACGTTTTCAAATTTTTTTACTGACTCAGCAAACAAATGTATTAATTATAACACAGCCCCACAAAAAAAAAAAGTGTCATGTACTTTTGACCGGAATACCCTAACCCTATGTATTTTGACGCGCTGAACACGAATCCGAAGTCCGTTTTGCTCCATCACGTCAGGATTTTTTTCTAACCTCAAAAAACATGTCGGATTTTGTGAAGTAGGCGATTTTTTTAAAAATTGATGTATTAACTTCAAACTTGGTATCTGGGGGTTTTTTGTGTCGCTGATTACGAATCTGAAGTTAGATTTTCAAAATCCAAAATGGCGGATCCAATATGGCGGACGAATTTTGAAAAAATTTTAAGATTTACTTCAAACTTGGTATCTAGGGGTTTTTTGGGTCGCTGATTACGAATCTGATGTCAGATTTCCGAAATTCGACATGTCTGATTCAATATTAAGGAATTGTTTTTAAAAAATTGTCAGATTATTATGAAATTTGGTATCTACAGGTTTTCTAAGTTGCTGACAAGTAACACTAGGGAAGTGCCATACGACGATTTTTCTGAAACTTGGCAGTTTTGTAGTTTTTTAAAAACAATTTGACACGTATGTTTTGTTTTTCCGCAAAATATTCGTAATCAGCGACCCAAAAACCCCCAGATACAGATAATGGCGTATCTAATATGTCCGATAGAAGTCCATGTTGGATATGCCATTTTGAATTTTTCAAATCTGACATCATATTCGTAATCAGCGACCCAAAAAACCCCCAGATACCAAGTTTGAAGTAAATCTTAAAATTTTTTCAAAATTCGTCCGCCATATTGGATCCGCCATTTTGAATTTTGAAAATCTAACTTCAGATTCGTAATCAGCGACACAAAAAACCCCCAGATACCAAGTTTGAAGTTAATACATCAATTTTTAAAAAAATCGCCTACTTCTCAAAATCCGACATGTTTTTTGAGGTTAGAAAAAAATCCTGACGTGATGGAGCAAAACGGACTTCGGATTCGTGTTCAGCGCGTCAAAATACATAGGGTTAGGGTATTCCGGTCAAAAGTACATGACACTTTTTTTTTTTGTGGGGCTGTGTTATCTTGAAAAAATCATTGCTATTAGTTAGAGAATAGGTCACTCTTATGTTTTTGGGGTCGCCGAAAATGAATCTGAATTCAGAATAAAAAAATTTTCAAAATTCAAAATGGCGGATCCAATATGGCAGACAGGTTTTTAAAAACTTAATGGATTCGCTTGAAACTTGTTACTCGGGGGTTTTTGGGGTCGCTGATTACGAATCTGAAGTCAGATTTCGAAAATTCAAAGTGGCGGATTCAATATGGCGGACATATTTTAAAAAAATTCAATGGATATGCTTAAAACTTGTTATTCGGGGGTTTTTGGGGTCGCTGATTACGAATCTGAAGTCAGATTTTGAAAATTCATAATTTTAACTACTGTTTAAACAATTTATTATTGTTATTTACAAAATTTTTTCTAATTCCACCAAAAAATGCAATGTTTCCCTAGTTTTGCAACTTACCGAATTAAGTATAATAAGAAATACGGACTTTAATAAAATTCTTATTTTAATTATTGTTATTTACAAACTATTTCTAATTCCACGAAAAAATTGCAATTTTTTCGTAATTTTGCAACTTATAAAATTAACAATAATAGTTGGAAGTTAAATTTTTCAAGTTAAAAATCAACTCAAAAAGAGAGTTAATAATTATATTAACTCCTCGGTAAGAAGCGAGAAATAGAGAAAGATTGAAATTTTGCATATATTAAGCAAAACTTGATCATTTTCAATTATTCTGAATAGGCGTATTTACGTTTTCACCCAATTCCCCAGTGAACATCTAAATATCAAAAAAATGAATTCTTTTCTATTCCCAGTACAGATAAGTCAATAGAAAAGAATTCAAACTTTCTATTTTTCTAAATGCGCAAAGTTCTTAATTTTCATACTTTTTGGCAGCGAATAGAAAAAAATTAAATGTTTGAAGAGTAAATTCTAAATGTCTATTCCTTTCAATCGCCAGCTTCAAAATTTCCATGAAAGGAATAAGAAATTTGAAAAGTGAAGTACATGTGGTTATTTCTATAAATTGACTATAGCTCAGGACATTTGGAGCACATTTAGAGGAATAGAAAATGTGGAGAATAAATGAGGAATTTCTATATTTTACAATTGACTGCGTCAGGTTATATGTATAATTTAGAGTATAAATTTTGACCAAGTCAATTAAGAAGAATAGATTTTTCTACTTTTTTTTTGCTTTATCGAGGAATTGAATAAAAACGTAAATTCACTAATTCAAAAGAATTGGAACTCTGAATTCTTTTCAATTATTCGCTTCTTACCGGGTCCTTAAAACTAACGCCCTAGTAATGAAATTAATTCGTAAATTATTAACTATCCTTTTGCTTTAATTCCATAAGGGTGTACTTTTATAGCGTCCCCAAGAGAGTTGAAATTCAACTCTTTTTTTACATTTAATGAGAACCTTAACCCCAACAGTAAAACCTTAATATTTACTACAGATTTATAAACAGCCATTTTAAAAACTCCTGAGTTAGAAGTATCAAATTAATTAAATATCGGCCATATTGGATCTGCTATTTTGAATTTTCAAACTCTGACTTCAGATTCGTAATCAGCGACCCCAAAAACCCCCGAGTAACAAGTTTCAAGCAAATCCATTGAATTTTTCAAAAATATATCGGCCATATTGGATCTGCTTTTTTGAATTTTCAAAATCTGACTTCAGATTCGTAATCAGCGACCCCAAAAACCCCCGAATAACAAGATTTAAGCAAATCCATTGAATTTTTTAAAAAAATGTCCGCCATATTGAATCCGCCATTTTTAATTTTCGAAATCTGACTTCAGATTCGTAATCAGCGACCCCAAAAACCCCCGAGTAACAAGTTTCAAGCGAATCCATTAAGTTTTTAATAACCTGTCTGCCATATTGGATCCGCCATTTTGAATTTTGAAAATTTTTTTAATCTGACTTCAGATTCATTTTCGGCGACCCCAAAAACATAAGAGTGACCTATTCTCTAACTAATAGCAATGATTTTTTCAAGATAATTAATACATTTGTTTGCTGAGTCAGTAAAAAAATTGGAAAAAGTTGTCACAGTAAGGACGCCATGTTGAATTTTTGAATTCGCCACTTTTTATTTGAAAGAGTATGAGCTAACGGTTATTTTAAGCCATAATAAGTCAATTTTCGTTTAGTAGATTTTTGGACAGAGCTCTGGGCCGGTTGACGTGAAACGTCCCATATATATTTATATTTATAAATATTATAATAATAAGTAAATAAAAATAGAGGTATGTAATAATAAAATTTTAAAAAACTTACATTTCTCGAGTATTCTCCATTGTATAAAACTCTTTTCTAAGCCATCTTTCTACTTGTAAAGGATACGGAGCATTTATTGTATCCTGTACCAAATGTGTTAAACCTTTTACCCATAATTCACATTCTTTTTCACTCAGAGCTAAAAATATACAATAAATAATTATTATACATTTTTAGAAATATGAATAAATTGTTTAAAAATGATGTAAAATTTACTTTGTTCAATAACTCACCCATTAATGACAGAGTTTTTAATCGGAATTCAGAACCATAATAAATACTAAAACATTTTAAATTTTCTTTTCTTTTCGTATCTTCAGACAATTTTTCAAAGTCTTTAGTATTACTGCCAACTCTAATTTCCTTAATTTCTCTTATTTCAACTAAAAATAAACAGAAAATTCATATTAAATATTTTTGTTAACGTCTCAACTTAATTCAAGTAATTGCAAAATAAGTATTATTAAAGGAAAATAATTTATAAAGCATATTTTATTTTAACTAAAATTAAATCATAATGTAAATAAAAATTGAAAATAAAAAGATATAATTAATATTAAATATTTTTTCCTTCCATTATTTTGTATTAGAAAATGAGTTCTTTTCGATTATTGGAAGTGAGAAATGAAACACCAAATCACTTGTTTGGCAACGTTTCGGTGTCTTGGTTTTACACCATCATCAGGCCACTTTATTAAACAATATTAAAACAAATTAATCACTCACCAACTATATACAACTTTTTTTAAAAAAACATTAAAATTATAAAATTCTTATTTTTATATAAATAAATAATTACCTAGTTAAATTAAATTTAATTAGTTACATTAGTAAATTAATTAATTAGTTACAGTTACAGTTACATTAATTAGTTACAGTTAGTAACACGTCAAATTGTTTGTCAAAAATATATGTCAAAAAAATATCGAATTATTTTTATTCAATTATTTTTAAAATAATTTTATTTTACATATCTAAATTATCTAAAATTAATCTTTTATTATCTTATCTATTACTTTATTTTATGTATGTTATCTTACTTTTTCACATTTCATAATTTAAATAAAGAATATTCTTAAAGATGTGTCTTTTTCTTCAATTTTCAACGGTGGAGTACAACTCCCCACTGTTTTTGAAAAGTCATAAAACCAGTATTTTCGAAAATAAACAAAATATCTATTTCCGTTTTGAATTTTAATCATCCAAAAAAAAATTATACAATAGTTTTGATCGAAAAAAAAACCCAGAGCACAACTTTCCACTTTCCCCTACTGTATGATAATCCATTGTCTCTGTACATAGTGACGACTTACAAATGCACAGAAGCAGTCTTATGACTCTGAAAAACTGATATTCCTGCTTATTTACATGTGCACTACAAACAAAGGCACACTGTTAGAATATCCTTACTATGAAACGAGTAGATATGCAAATTAGGTAAAGCAAGACAGTCTTATATTATTTTTGTGGACAGAAGAGAGAAAAAGAGAGCGTTAAATTTTGAGCGTTACCTGACAAAGAAAGACTTACATAATTTTCCTTAAAAAAGAGTAAGAGAGAAATATCTGTCTATTGCTACCTGAACAAAGATTTTCCCTCGTCCTTTTATGAGACGGTTTCATATACCTGACTTTCGGGCATCGACCGTCATTAAAGAAGGTCTATTGTTTTGTAAGGTTTGTCCGATCCCAGAGTCGAGAACTGTCATTACAAGTTTTATGACTCTTATTAACTTTATATGAGGAAATAAAATAATTTTTCATTTTGTCTAACTATGTAAAAAATATGTTTCTCGAAATCTGCGTTTCGTGACGATACGTGAGTAATCTAAAAATTTATTCAACTTTATGGAAAAATTTTATAAAAATTAAATTAATGAAAATGTTGTTTGTAGCAATAAAACACAAGTATGTTTTTCTAAGATTTTCAACAAAATATCAAATTATAAAGAAAATTTAGATATAAGTTAGCAAAAATGACTACTCGGAGGTTTTTGGGGTCACTGATTACGCATCTGATATCAGTTATTTTAAAAAATTCAAAATGGTGGATCCAATATGGCAGACGATTTTTAAAAAATTATCGGATTTAAAAGAAATTCGTTACTCGGGGGTTTTTGGAGTCATTGATAACAAAATCGATATCCGTTTTTCAAAATTTTTTAAATTCAAAATGGCAGATCTAATATGGCGGACGATTTGTTTATAAATTGATTGTATTTACTTGCAATTCGTTACTCAGGTTTTTGAGGTCGTTGAGTACGAATGTAATTATCGTCTTTGAAAATATAAAATGGATTCGTAAACAGCCATCGCGAGAAAGCCGAGTAGTCATTTTTAAGAGTTAAGCTCTTCTTTCCGAAGTTTGGATCGATAGATTGCATCCACCATTCTGTATTTCTGAAAACTGTCATCGGCTTAGTACTTAGCTACTTTAAAAACCCCGATTAAAAACAAGAAGTTCGATCCACCATATTGGATCCGCCTTTTTAAATTTTGAAAATTTTTAAAAACTGAATATCGGATTCAAAATCAGCGCCCTAAAAACCCTGAACTACAGTGGTTGATAAAATTTTCGTTACTTAAAAAAATCAGGCGTTAAAGGGATAAAAGTGACATTATTGTCTAATTTTTCTAAATAGAAAAGAGGAAATCAGAGTCAAATTAAAAGTCAAAGCGAAAGTGAAACTTATTATGAAAGCCAATGTCGATGTGGAAGTTAAAATGAAATTACATAATTGCACCTCTGAATGACTCATGTGAAATTAGCACCACTTTTTCAAGAAATAAAAAAATTCACAATAGTTCTGGGTACTTAAGGAATAGTTTTGTTGTTCAATAACGATTGTTTTAATAGTTATGTCAGTTAACATTAAAAAACACAATAAAAAAAATTAGGTGCTTACTTCGCGTAGCATTAAAATTGACTAAAAAAGATTTCTGACATGGTGAGTTGATAGTTACAGAAGAATTTTAGAGTTCTCTTATAGAAAAATTGAAAGTTCCACAAAATCGAAGAAACTACAGAACTTTGAAAGAAGCAAAAATAAAAAAAATTTTGCAAAAATTAATATTTCGTTAGTTGTGATTAGAGTTCTCGAAATAGTAATTAAAGTTCTACAAATTATTTTAACAAAGCTTTTCACCAATAGTGCTATCAATTAATTGTAAAAAAATCAATTGTTCATAATAAGGGGCTAAGTTCAAGCAGTCCCTTACTTTCAAAAAGATATTCTGCACATCTGCAGCCGAAATCATTAGTCTAAACTTAAAATTCACGAAACTACAGTACTTTAAAATTCCAAAAAATATAAATATTTCAAAATTGAGTTTCATGATTTATAATTGGAGTTCTGTTTCAACACCTTTTAGGTTCTAAAAGTTCTGATAGTAGTTCTCTTTGCCCTCCAATAACTTTTCCAAGAAACATTCTTAAAACTTTTCCCAAACTCTAAATTAAAGATACTTTGAAATTTAATAAAACACCTATTGAGTTCTACAAAAAACTCATAAAATTTTATTTCAAGCTCAAAATTAAAAAACCTAATATGGTGGACTGATGAAACTCAACTTTTTCATAACGCAGATACGAAATATACTATTTCATATTTAAAAGTCCTGTATTATTTATTTATTTATTTAATACATTCCCCGCAGTCCTTAGGAACCATAAATGGGTAACTAAATTTCTAACCAAAATATAGAAAAATATACAAAACAAAGATTTAAAGAAAACAGTATGCAATCAATCTTCGCGCAACGAAATGATGTAATTGTTTAAACTATTGAGAAAACGTGATTGAGATGTAACAAATAAGTCAAGATCTGGTTTCATGGTTGTAAACATTTAGTTAACATGGAAACACGCAAAAAATATAGGAGCACAGAAGTCTCTCGACGTATTAACAATTAGCAGCCGAAAAGGTCTAACGTCTCTTGATGATAGTCGAGGTACTCTAAACGCTATCTCATTGAGTAAAAATGGTGAATTAATTTGATTATGGATTATTTTGAAAAGGAAAGTTACGGTGAGAATGATTCGTCTTTCCTTTAAAGTAATAATATAAAAACGTTGACATAAGTTTAAATAATCGCAACCACGTTCCGGATATATTCCATCCTCTCTAAAGGCTAAATATTTAAGAAGGCTTTTTTGAACAGAATCAATCTCATGCGAATATTTTCAAAATACGGGTTCCATATTTGTGAGGCATACTCAGCACCGGAGCGAACCATTGCGTTAAATAATAATTTAAAAGTTTTAATGTTTGTAAAATTTTTTGAGCACCCAATAAGGTATTCCGATGCTTTGGATGCGGTAGACACATTCGCTGTAATGTGATCAGTGAAGGTTAAATCGCAAGAAAAGGTCACTCCTAGGTCACGCACAGAGAAAACTCTTTCAATCAACTGATTGCCGATCATATACGGATAAAGAACTGGAAAACACGATTTAGAAAATGTTATGGTTTGACATTTCTTCAAATTTAAATCTAATTTATTAACATTACACCACTCATGAAAAGCTTCAAGGTCTTTACTTAGCACATCGCTATCGTCAGTTGATTGTATTATTCGAAAAATTTTTACATCGTCTGCAAACAATAAAATATAAGATTTAACACAATCAACAATACTATCAACATACAGTGTAAAAAGCGGAGACCCAAAAGACGAACCCTGAGGAACACCTTTAACTGGTATCATCGTTGACGAAAGACAATTTCAAACAGCCACGCGATGGCATCTGTGGAGCAGGTAGTTCATGAGAGTGCTCCTTAGGTTCCACGGTATATTTAACATATCAAGCTTCTCGGTCAGAATCTGGTGATCAATAGAATCAAAAGCTTTTCAAAATCCAAATATAAGACATCGACTTGATAGCCTGATTGTAGCGACTGTTGAAGGATAGTCATGAATTCAGCTAGATTGGTAATGGTACATTTTTTAGGTATACACCCATGTTGTTGTTCATGAATAACTATTTTTAGTGCGTTCGTAAGGTAAGGAGCAATAGCAAATTCAAAGACTTTAGCAAAATTAGGTATAAGGGCAATTGGTCTATAATTGCTACAATCAGACTTATCACCGGACCTCTTGTAAACAGGTATAATCTTCGCTGATTTCCAGACTGAGGGAAATTCCGATTGTCTCAAAGCAAGGTTGTAAATTATAGTTAAAGGATATGCTAGAATCGACGCGCAGTCTCTGACCAAAAAGCTCGGTATTCCATCCAATCCCGATACAAAAGTCTGCTTCAAAGATTTCGCGGCCTTGAGAACCTGATCAGGTGACAACTGGAAAAGTTCGCTCCTTGTGTCGCATTGAACTTCAAAAATATTATGTTTATTTGAACATGTAATATTATTGCAGTTAACTTTGGC